CATGTATCCTTATAAGAGGGACACAGAAGGAGATTGAATGCAGTCCCACAGAGAAGATGATATGAAGACAGAGGCAGAAGTTGTAGTGATGTGGCCACAAGCCCAGGAATATCAGAGTACCCATCAGAAGCTGGAAGAGGAAAATAACAGATTATCTCCTAGAGCCCCCAGAGGGAGTATGGCCCCTGCTAACACTTCAACACACCTCTGGCCTCCAAAGCTGTGAGAGAAAAACTTTGTTGCTTTAAGCTACCAAGTTTGTAGTAACTTATTACTGTAGCCAAAATAAACTAATAGCACCTAAAATAGTACCTGGAATACGGCAGACACTTAATACTTGTTCAAAGAAAGAATGAATGAAAATAAACCCTGAAATACTACCATCTGATTATACAGTGTCTATATAATGCCTTTATTCTGACAAAACTATTACTGTTTCTATGGGTACACATGTTATGTAATAGAAATGCACAGGAAAACCACAGAAAGTTACAGGAAAACCCTGGAAAGTTATATGTAAAACTCTTAAAAGGAGGGTGAGATGATAGAATTGGGACATTTTAATATATATTCATCGTAGTGATTGTATAATTCAAAAATAATCAAATGTCTTTAAAAAGATTTTTTTTCGAAACAGGGTCTCAATTATGTTGCCTAGGCTGGTCTCAAACTCTTAGGCTCAAGCAATCCTCCTAACTTAGCCTCCCAAGTATCTGGGATTACAGACACATGCTACCACACCTGGCTTAAATTTTTTTGGTTTTTCAAAAAACATCACTCTCTTCTCATCAATGCACTTTTAGCAATAGGTTCTACCTTACCTATAAATGGTTAACTACAGTTTTAAATTTTTAACTATGAACTTAAAAACTTTAAATGTATTTCTATTTGTATAAGATTTATATTAAGACCACCAAAAAAAGATGAAAAACCAGGGTGTTCCTGAATCTGAAGTAGGCACTGAAACTAACATTTCATTATTTTGTCTTTTATTATTATTTTTGAGACAGGACCTCAGTCTGTTGCCCAGGTTGGAATGCAGTGGCACAACCACAGTGCACTGCTGCCTCCACCTCTCAAGCTCAAGCAATCCTTCCACCTTAGCCTCCCAAGTACTTGGGACTACAAGCACACACCAATATGCCTGGCTAATTTTTAAATTTTGTAGAGATGGGGTCTCACTACATTGCTAGGGCTGGTCTCAAATTCCTGGGTTCAAGCAATCCCCCTGCCTCAGCCTCCTAAAGTGCTAGGATTACAGATGAGCATTACTGTGCCTGGCCCATTTCATTATTTTTAAACTGAAGGAAAAAACCTACTAAGATCAGGCAAATGTAAGGGATACTAGGAGGCCTTCTCCTCACTGAATGCTATATGCCATTTGCTTGGAGGCTTAAGAAAAAGTGGTTCAAAGAGAAAAACTGAAAAATCCAGAAAGTAAAATAATTCGTAGGGTTGAAAGACTTACACAAAAAGGAAATAATGAAGAAAAAATATTTCCAACAAAGAGGGAATATCTTTCTACTAAGGAAAATAACTTTACCTGCAGCATGTAGTTGATCTGCTAAGTCATACAACAACTTAAAGTTCTCGCCACTCTTCAAGCCTCGACCTCATTTAAAAAGATGAAAAAACAAAACAAAACAAAAAAATTAGGCAAACATCAAATTCATTCTAGAATAATTTTGCTATTTTATATACTGGAGTAAATTTTCATATTATGTAACTGCCATATTAAGCATGTCACCTCCTCTATAAAACCTTTTCTGACCTCTCCTATCACACTCCTATACTTCTATAAAGCATTCAACATACTATAATTAACTAGTTAACTAATTATGTAATTAATATGAGTTTTTTTCCCACTAGAATAAAAACTCTTTAATTTCAGGATCTGTATCTATCTTGGTCACTGCCATATCTCAATATTTAGCAAAACTCTACATATAATAGATGCTCAATAAATTTCTCTGAATGACTGCATAAAGTTATTATTTGAATGGGAGTCATCTCAAGGACTTTAAACTCCTCGAGAGGAAGAGCATTCTGCCTTTTCATCTGTTTCTCCAGCACTTGGCAATAAGCTTGTCATAGAACAGATAACCAATATACATTTATTGAATAAATAAGTGAATAAACAAGTCAGGGCCTGGTGCTTTTTATTGTATAAAATACAAAATTATTATTATTATAATTATTATTATTATTATTTAGACGAAGTTTCACTCTTGTTGCCCAGGCTGGAATACAATGGCACGATCTCGGCTCACTGCAATCTCAGCCTCCCAGGTTCAAGCAATTCTCTTGCCTCACCCTCCCAAGTAGCTGGGACTACAGGCATCCACCACCATGCCCAGCTAATTTTTTGTATTTTTAGTACAGAAGGGGTTTCACTATGTTGGCCAGGCTGGCCAGGCT